TCTATAGAGATAGATCCAATAGGCTGCTGGGTTTATCTCAATCCACGTATGTTGACAAGATGCTAAAGAGGTTTAGCATGGAAGGGTCGAAAAGGGGTTTTCTTCCCGTCAGTCATGGGGTACATCTTTCAAAGGCTATGTGTCCTAAGTCACAGTCTGAGAAGGATCGCATGAGTGGAATTCCATACGCTTCGGCTATTGGATCCATCATGTATGCCATGATATGTACGAGACCAGATGTCTCATATGCTTTAAGCATTACGAGCAGATACCAGTCTGACCCTGGAGAGGGTCACTGGACAGCAGTCAAGACCATCCTTAAGTACTTAAGAAGAACTAAGGATGCGTTTCTGGTCTATGGTGGGGTTGATGAGCTTTCAGTGAAAGAGTTCACTGATGCCAGCTTTCAGAGTGACAAAGATGACTGTAAGTCACAATCAGTGTTCGTGTTCACCTTAAATGGTGGGGCAGTATCTTGGAAGAGTTCCAAGCAGGAGACAACAACAGATTCAACGACAGAAGCTGAATACATAGCTACTTCAGAAGCGGCTAAGGAGGCCGTGTGGATCAAGAAGTTCATATCTGAACTAAGGGTGGTTCCAAGCGTAGATGAGCCCATACAGTTGCTTTACGAAAGCACTGGAGCCATTACGCAGTCAAAGGAACTTAGGTCTCATCAAAGATCTAAACACGTGCTCCGCAGATATCACCTGATTAGAGTAATCATTGATAGGATGGATGTAAAGATGGATTATGTTCCCACAGATGATAACGTAGCCAATTCTCTGACAAAGGCTGTTTCTCAGAGAAAACATGATAGTCATTATGAGGCTTTGGGTATACGACTTAGGTCTGATTGGCTCTAGGCCAAGTGCGAGCTTGTTAGTATATGGATGTCCTAGAGACAATCTTTTGATTAGATTAGGACATAAGTGGACCTTTGTATTGTCGCAAATAAATAAAAGCATTCTTTATCCTGTTTCATATTTTGTCTCGATATTACTGTTAATATTATATATGAGTAACTGGATAAACCCCTTGGAATAAAATAGGTATCTCTTGAGTATCTGTGATGAGATCACGATCATGAGGATTCAAGGATACTGGATGTTTATTCCTAATTTTATGTTCCAAGTCTAGAGACACTGAGAATGGGGATCAGTGATTTCGGGTAAGACTAGCACGACTTATCTACTTGTATTCGGATGCAAGGTAAAGACCTCATGAGCTACAGATATGGAGATGTCTTAGCTAAAGTCGTGGGTGGATCTATAAGGGTATAGCTCGCACTGAACTGACCCACAAAGAGACTCTATGAGGAATTCTCACAGAGAGTATCATTAGAGTAGTCTCTTTATATTTGGGTATGTCTTTCCTTAGACCAGAAGTTATTACCTAGACTGTGTCCTAGAAGGCATGCTTTGACTGTATACCTCGTCTGCCAGAAACATGGAGACTCATAGGTATACTGTTGGGCTTGTCCTGAAAGAACACAAGGCTAGGGTGATAAGCTGAAGGAATTCGTCAAATCTCTGTGAGAGATTAGGTTATCTGTAAACCGGAGAAATCGGGATGACATTTACAGGGACTCGGGAATCTATGCATAGTAAAAGAGATCATGAGATGATCTTCCTTTAGAGTCAGTAAATTGAAGATTCTCTATTTCGAATAAAGCTTACCCTAAACCGCAAGGGTTGATACGTTTCCTTACCCTAGGTTTTATGGGAAGCTAACCGAGACGATAGGAAATACATACGGCAACCAAATATGTGTAATAGGATGATTATGTCATTAACCTAACTAGCTCTGGGGCAACAAAGCATTGCTAGTGCTCTGTGTTGTCATTAGATGAGTTGTGGGCTTATTGGGCCCAAGCCCATTTATGTCAGTGGCTATGTTGGGCCTAATGGGTCACACACTAACACCTTATTGTCATGACAATATAACATTAAAGATGTTGGGCCTAATAATGGTTGTTAGCCCAAGAAGAAGTTTGGAAGCCCACCAAAAGGGAAAAGGGCGCATGGTTAGTTAATGGGCTTGGATGGTCCAAGGCATTACTAATTAATTTAATTAGTTAAATTAATTATCAAATGTTTAAATTTTGAATTTTGAATTTGAAATTTGAATTTTGAAATTTGAATTTGAATTTTGAAATTCGAATTTTGAATTTTGAATTTGAAATTTGAAATTTTTGAATTTGAATTTTGAATTTGGAAATTTGAATTTGGAATTTGAATTGGAATTTAAAATTTAAATATTTGAACATTTGAATTCAAATGTTTGAATTCGAATTTGAATTGGCTATGAAAAGTTGTTTCATAACAAAAGGATAAGATAAGATCTTGTTGGAACAAATCCCAAATATCTAGAGGAGATCTTTGAGAATCTTCTAGTGAGGATATGGGGCGCTGATTTTGGCATCTGATGATGGTCATAGGATCAACTAAATGAGCTCCAGTCAAATTTGGTTTGTTGAGTGAATAAGTGAGACAGTTGGTTCAAGTTTGAATGCATCTGCTCAACGTATATGGACTGTTATGAGGCCAAGTGGGGCGCACCATATGGCTGACCATATGATGGTTGTTGAGTCAGATTCTTGTTGAGATATTCACTTGATATCATGAGGATGTGAGAGGAGGTTGTTGACAAGATTTGAATTTTGCAACAACTCCACTCATCCCCCTAGTGTGCGCTACATAGGGATTTATTTAAGTGAAGAAAATCTGATTTTAATCAGATTATTCTCTCATCTCCTTGTGGGTTCCTTTTGGTCAGGTTTTTCTTAAGAGAGTTTTGAAATAACCTAGCCTTTTCAAAGAAAACCATGCGCCACTTTTGTGTCTATTCTTGCTGAATATTCACTCTTCTAAACACCTTGACCTAGCCTCCTCCTTCACACATTGGGCGCATAGCTTGCCTCCATTGGTGTTTTCGTTGGTGGCCTTGAAGAAGAGTTTTTCTGTCTTGACAAAGGGTGGTGTGGATCAACATTAGAGGGCTTGCATCTTCAAGCCTTATCTTGATCATCCTCAAGTTTTGGAAAGCAAACAAGGTAACATCCATGCCCTAAAGCATGTTTCTTGATATGGTATGTGTTATTCCGCTCGAAAAATTTTGTTTTTCCCTCTCACATGCCTCGACCTTCAAGGTCAGTTTCTTTCATACAGATTTTCAAAGAAGGAAACAACCATTTCCATTAAAACCTGCTGATCACCAATCCAAACTCCCTTCGAGTTTTTCAACGTATCTATGTGATTCCTCCTACGCCTGGCAACCGTCACAGAATGAAAGAAACGTGAGTTCCTATCTCCAAGAGCAAACCAATTCATTTTCGATCTTTGAAACCAAGTGATTTCCTCTTGAAGATAAATCTTGTCTAGTTCCCTCTATAGATCCTTTTGCAACATCTCAAGGCTATAACTGTACTGATAACTAAGACATCTATCAATACCTCTAATCCTTGCATGCAAATCATTCTTTCTTTTTAGAGCAATCCTATAAACATTTCTATGTCATTCTGAAGCATTAATCCGAAATGTCTCCATAGCATGCATCCAGTTTACATTGTTTGACCAACATCCATTAACCACCTCAAGAAAAGTGCTCTCTGTTAACCAGGATGCTAGAAAACGAAAAGGACGCTCCCCTCTCGGATAAATAACAGGTTGACCTTCCCATAATAACACTGGTCGATGATCTGAGCCAAAGAAAGGCAAGTTGAAAGCCACACGGTTAGGGAAAACCAAGTTCCAATTATCATTAGCGCAAACCCTATCAAGACGTTCTTGAAGATTTCTTCTTTGCCAAGTGAAAATAGGACCTTGATTGCCAATGTCAGACAAGCTACATTCATCTAAACAATCACGAAATCCCCTTATGCTATTCCAGTTATGCCCATTACCACCTAGCTTCTCATACTCATACAAATAAGTATTAAAATCACCTGCTATCCCCCAAGCCGCATTCCTCATGGACTGATCAAACTAATTAATGTTTTGACAATTAGGTATCTATACCCATTTGAAAAAAAAAAATACGGAGACTTCTCCATATCACCATGAGTCTTGTCATAATATAAATATAGTTTGTGATCATAATATTAAGAGTAAATACCCTTTTTGGTCCCTAACAAAAAACACGGTCCCCAGTTTAGTCCCTTACAAAAATAAATTAGTCAGTTAGTCCCTAACAAATTCAAAGTGGACCCATTTAGTTGAAATCGTGGTCCCTCACAAATTCAAAAAAGACCCATATTAGTCCCTCAAAAGGACTAAAATGGGTCCACTTTGAATTTGTTAGGGACTAACTGACTAATTTATTTTTGTAAGGGACTAAAGTGGGGACCATGTTTTTTTGTTAGGGACCAAAAATGGTGTTTACTCTAATATTAATTTTTTTCATTTTAAAATTGTTGTTGTCATAGAAAAAGGTACATAATATTGGGTGTGTTTATGGTGTATTAGGTGTGCGGTTCGATTCCTTGTAATGTTCAAAAAGGTACATATACAACACTACTTATTTTTTTAGAACTTATTCTTTTTTCTTATATCCTTGTTAAATATATAAATATTAGTAAATAAAATTGTTTATAGATTTAAAAAAGTATTTTAATGAAATATAATTATTTTGATGCAATTGAAAAAAAAAAGTAACAACTTGCAAATAAGAAATAATCGAAGCTTTGGTCAAAAACATTACCAAGAGAACAGAACTCCCAAAAGAGGAGGGAACAGAGAGAAAAATCTCAATTTAACAAAAATAAGAAAAAAATTTCAATTTAAAAAAAGAAGAAGAAGAAATATCAATTTAACAAAAAAAGAAGAGACAAATCTCAAGCGCACGTTGCATTCACCCCATTTATTGCTACGCTATCAACAACAAACTGCATTACATGGTTTACTTAATGAGCAAAAACAAGTAGCCCCACAAGCTCACGGAATCTCTCTATATATTATTCTCTTCCTCTTTCTCTCATTTTCTCTTCAAACAAACACAAACCCAAAAAATAAAACATAGAAAATCTCTCACCCCTCTTTCTCTCAGTATCTCATTTCTTCAACATCGTACAAAAAACCAGAGGAAAACAGAGCAATGGGTACCCGAACCCGTTCCCGAAAATTTTGTTCTCCCCTTTTCATTTTCTTCACCCTTTTGCTTCTCAACACCCCAAGTGGCGATGCCATTACCAACCCCATCAAAACCGTCGTCGTTTTGGTCATGGAGAACCGTTCCTTCGACCACATGTTGGGGTGGATGAAGAAGCTCAACCCGGACATCAACGGCGTAAACGGGTCGGAGTCCAACCTGTTATCCGTAACCGACCCGAGTTCCAAGCGGCTCTTTTTCAAAAACCAGGCACAATACGTGGACCCGGACCCGGGTCACTCGTTCCAGGCCATCCGTGAGCAGATATTCGGGTCGACTGACACCTCGGCTGACCCGGCTCCGATGAACGGGTTCGCCCAACAAGCTTACTCCATGGACAATACCACCAACATGTCTGAGGATGTTATGAATGGTTTTGAACCTGACATGGTTGCTGTTTACAAGACACTTGTGTCTGAATTTGCTGTGTTTGATAGGTGAGAATTTGATTTCCTCTGCAAACGTTATCTCAAACTTGTTCTGTTCTGAGTTCTGAGTTCTAACCCTGTTTTTTTTTTTTTTTTTTCAGAAAATTATTTTTTTTAATTTTAATTTCAACTTTGAATTATTGATTAATTTTATATAAAAATGAATTACTGAATTTTTACAACTGATTTTATGATATGTTAATTTGAGTCCAATTCTGTTGACCATGGTAACCACACATGGCCACTTGAAAGTGTCTCATTAATGCTTTAGATTAGATAAGACCTTAAAAGCAGGGAAACGCTTTAAATTCTCCATCAACTTTTTCTCTCTTTAGTATAAAAATATCGTGATGGCTACTTTAGGTATCAAATTCACATATTTTATATTTTGGGAAAATATTTATCTTATGTCCCTTTAAATAAAATTTTCACTATAATATTTGATTAATTATCTTTCTAATTATTAGAATTTACTTTTTATTTATTTATAAATTAATTAAATATCATAAAAATATATTCTATTTCACTGAAAATGATATAATATTATGTACTTTAAAAATGTAAATACTTTTTCTTACATTTGTGTATTATCTGCATGTGGTTTTGTTTTAAACCATGGGACTCTAATTAATGCTGTTTCAAATATTCAATATAAAACGAAGTAAAGTCTGAACTGTTATTGGTTGAATATATAATTGAGAAGCGTGTTTCTCTTTTTATTGACACATCTTTTACTTTCACAGATATACGAGACTCATATCTTTATTTATTGTTTTTATTCAATCTCTCTTCCAATGATTTATCTATTTTATTTTATTTTGAAAATAATGATTTATATATTTATCTCACTTAAAATAACAAAATTTTACATGATCTGAATTTTGATTTGGATTCTCTCACGTGGAAAAAAAATTATGAGACAGAGAATCAATGGTAATAAAAGAAGATTGAAAAAAATATTATAATAGATAGTTACAAAATTATAATCATTGATTTATTTTTCTATGATTGTGATATTCTTACATGATTATGTCATGATTTTTTTTTATGTTAGAGGATTCATTTTTAATTTTACATCAATGACATACTTCCTATATACTTATGTCCTAAAGTTATCATTCTTTTATTAGTATATGTGAAAATGATACTATTTGACTGCTAAATTTTTGGATGCCGTTATGTTTAGTAGAAGAAATTTATGTACAAAATTGAATATATTTAGATATATTATTTCAAAATATTTCCATAAAGAAGAAATGGAGACAACAAACTGTTCATTTTAAATTTTTAATCATGTCTGTAACTTTTGTTTTATAACAAAGAGGAGTACATTCCTTTTTGTTACCATGCATATATATTGATATAAATTATTTTTATTATTTTTTTATGGAACACTGACAAAAACACAACCCATTTAAGTGCACGTAGTAATGATCAGTGTTATTAAAATTGGTTCAATCTAGTCCAATTAGTTGACTGGGGAACTGCATTACTAATCAATTTGATTCAATTAATTAACTAATTATGCATATTTAGTTGAACCAGGGAAAGGGAATGAAATACTAACCATTAGCCAAATTATTTTGGTTCTCATATTATTTCTATTTATATTTTTTAATATATATTTTTACATAAATTTAATTTAAATAATTCAACCAATGACCGAACAGTAATCCATTGACCCGACCAAGTTGATTCAGGTTTCCTAACATTGTTATTAACTAAAAACTGATAAATAAATTGATGATTATTAATAGCTTATATTATTTTTTTTGGTGGTTTATGGCTTTATGCTTATATATTATTTTGGTAGTTACTAAAGAAACATCAAATATAACAACTAATGTTATTTTCAAAAAAAATAAAATAAAATATATAACACTAATGTTATATTATGAAAATATTAATAATAATAATAATAATAATAATTCCTAAGTTTTGACCTTATACAACGTGACTCTCTTATTCTTAGGTGGTTTGCTTCGATGCCGGCCTCCACGCAGCCCAATCGGCTTTACGTGCACTCGGCGACTTCCCACGGCGCCACCAGCAATGTGGCGTCGCTGCTGGTCCAGGGCTACCCTCAACAAACAATCTTTGACAATCTCTACGACGCCGGAATCGACTTTGGAATATACTGGCAGAATATTCCGGCGACATTATTCTATAGGAATCTAAGGAAGCTCAAGTACGTGTCCAAGTTCCACGAATACGACCTGTCGTTTAAGCAGGATGCAAAGAAAGGGAAATTGCCGGGTTATGTTGTGGTGGAGCAGCGGTACATGGACACTAAGTTGCTCCCAGCCAATGACGATCACCCTTCGCATGACGTGTACCAGGGACAGATGTTCGTGAAGGAGGTGTACGAAACGCTGAGGGCGAGCCCGCAGTGGAACGAAACCCTGTTCTTGATCACATACGATGAGCATGGTGGGTTTTATGATCACGTGCCTACGCCGGTGCGTGGGGTTCCAAGCCCTGATGGGATTGTGGGGCCAGAGCCATTTAACTTCACGTTTAATAGGTTGGGAGTTAGAGTTCCTACTATTGCTATCTCACCATGGATTGATAAGGGCACAGGTATGTCTTTTATCTCACATTGAATCTCTCTCTCAAATTTTATAGTTTTATTAATCAATTTTATTGTTTGATGATGGGAACAAAGGTTTACGAGAGAGATAGCTGTTAGAAGTTGTGAATTTTCAAGATCTCGAAATTATTTTATAATTATCATTGATGTTGTAATCTAACAAGTTTGTGTTAGGATTTGAGTAAGTGAAAGTGTACTTGCAAAGAGTACTAGTACATATCAGTTTCATGAGCTAATTTTAGTTTCTTACTCAAAGAATATAATAAGAAAACCTCATATTACTACAAGAAAAAAAAAAGTTAGAGGGTATTTGGATTAAGTTTTTTTTTTTTTTTTTTTCAAATTTTAGTTGATATTTTTTCATTAATAATTATAATAATTTTATAATTTTTATTTCGTTTTCATATTTTAAAATTTGTGAAAAAAAATTAAAAGAAATTGATTTTTTTTTACAAAATTAAATAAGATGGTATATTAAAAGTACTTCAACTAAAAATAAAAACAGAAAACTAACTAAATAATCTATATAGCCGTGAAAATGATTGAGTAGCTTGCCCATAGAGTCTTTACTTTGAAAAAAATTGTTATATATATATATATATATATATATATATATATATATATATATCATTTTTGTTGGTATGTCATTATCATAAAATAAAGTAATATGTTATTCTAATGTAAATATTATTCAGTGTATTATTTTTTTATGTTTGCACATAAATTATGTTTGTCGTTCTGTTTTGCCGTTCATTCAATTCGTTAATTAAAAACTGAATTACTTATATGTGGTTATCAAATTTACACGTTGATTTTACCAAAAATAAAAATGAAAAATTTACACGTTGTTGATATTGGGTTCTATTTTGACATATTTGTATTCAACTTTTTATCTCTGTTCTCATCCACAAAATTGATTGAGAGTCATTTTATCGAAGGAACTTTCATTGCTTTTCAGTATGAACTATTTATGGGGTTTTCTATGTACCTTATCATGATTGCATTCCTCCACCATACTCGGGGTGACATGTCTATATTTAAACAGCCTCTATTAATATGATGATTAATTACTCACCGAACTTATGAGTAAAGAGAGCTAAAATATTCAGATTCTCTTCTTCTCACGCACGATGCACGGCTTATCTGACTTCACATATCGTGGCTTCATGATCTTAATAAAATATCTTGCTTTAAGTTAGGTGCAAATCACCATTCACATGTTCACACGTAACTATGTCTCGTTTTCACACTACTTTGAAAACAGACAATAAACATTAAGTGGCATGGAGTGCAAAGTGGGACCATATGCTTTTTGGTTTTCAATTTTCAGTTGTCAAAGTGCATAATGTGAAACCTCATTACTTTGGATATTTGCCTACATTGACAAATCACACAACCACAAGAAACTGACCTTTGATTTCTTTGCCGGTTAGGCGTCTGCATAATGTGTAAGCAAATTATTGGCTCCATGTCTTAAGCAAAAGATTAAGGGAGCAATAATGCAGGGAAATTATGGATTGGTTGACTTATTGGTTAAGCCTGAGAAAGGGGTTATCTAATGTTACTGGTTAGTGTGGGTAGATTAAAATATGACTCTTGAAGCATAAATTGATAGCTTCCCCATGTGTAGTGTTTTTTTTTTAGTGTTGAAAAGATACCAAAAGGGGATGTTGAATTATAATTTTTAGGAGCAAAGATATTGGTTGGTGCCTTAGAGAAAACAATATGATCCTCTAGCTGTTGTCTCCAGGATCCAACTTTCTTGGTATGTTGCCAGGGAGGAACTCCAAGACAAATAGGTGCCTTACAAAAAGGCTTCTATATTATTTTGTTACCATTTTTATTTCATTCTATAATAATTCTGTGTACTTATTACCAAATACAAAATTATAAACAATTGGCATTCCATTCTAAACACAACCAAATAATGCATAATTTTAACTTTTACTTCTGTTCGAGCTCATTAAATTAGTCATTACTATTATGCAAAAATTGATTGTGTACCAAACATAATTTTAGTGTCACCTCGAATGGAACTAATGAATCTAATTTCTGTACTGCACAAGAACTATAACTTACTGCACAAGGTTTTCTGATTTGTTATGGTGATGCAGTTGTTCATGGGCCAAACGGGTCACCAACTTCTACATCAGAATATGAACACTCATCCATTCCCGCAACAGTAAAAAAGATCTTCAATTTGCCTTCATTTCTGACCAAGAGAGATGCATGGGCTGGAACCTTTGAGGGCATTCTCCAGACCAGGACAGAACCAAGGACTGATTGCCCAGGTTAGTCATCATCTAATTGGATTATGATCCCATTCATGTTTCAATAAACAACAATATCCCATTTGATAGATTATTGAACAAATACTATCCACACACCATTCATACATCCATATGCAATCAGAAAACTTTAGTCCGGTATGATAAAAGTGGGATTTAATTAGGATTTTGATCAACTAATTGGATTATGATCCCACTAATGTTTCAGTAAACACAAAATCACATGTGATAGATTACTGAACAAATACAACCACACTCCATGCATACATCCATGCAATCATAAAGATTTAGTCCTTCATGATAAAAGTTTATTTTAATAAGGACTTCAATAAATTTGTAATAGCTTTAAAACTTGATGTAATGAGCTTTAACATGTGTATTTGTGCTTTTGAAATAAAATAAAAGTTAATTTTTTTTTCAAATGTCATTATCTTTTCTTGTAGGTTTATCCTAAGATGAAAAAAGAAAGGCATACAGTCTTTATATGAGTGAAGGAGAGGAAACTGTTGGAAATATTCAAGTATGGGTAGTAGTAAAGTCCACATCGGTTAGAAATGAACCAAGTGAGGATTGAAGACTATATAAGTGCAAAAGACCCATAGACCTATAGTTTTAAGATTTTGGGTTGAGATGTGGGGTTGAGCCCACTTATTGTGGTTTGTCATTTGGCCCATTAGTGGAAGAATTCTCCTTATAAGGGTTTCGGACCCTCCCTTACCATTCCAACGGCGGTACAATAGATTTCTGTAGAAGTTGCCTTTAGGGAAAACATGATATTGGGTCTCACACTCTTGTGATCGGAAGGTCATGAGTTTGAGTTTAGAAAATAGTATTTTTGCAAAAATATAAGAGTAAGGCTATATACAATCGACCCTCTCCCTTATCCATGCAATGCAATTGAGGGAGCCTTGTACACCACGATTTGCCCTCTACTAATGACTAACTAATAATTAATTGATTACAATTCCCATGCTCCTTACACTTGATTTTTACATTATATTACGTGCTGTATCAATAAAAACAAAATCACCAGGGCATATTTTACACTATGTTGATTCTTGCTAGTGTTAATTTTTGGTGCAGAGCAACTTCCAACCCCTGTAAAGATCAGGAAGGGTGAGGCTAAGGAAGATGCCAAGATGAGTGAATTTCAGCAGGAGATGATCCAACTTGCAGCAGTGCTTAAAGGAGATAATATCTTCACTAGTTACCCAGATACAATAGGGAAGGACATGACTGTTAAGCAAGGGAAATATTACATGGAAGAAGCAGTTACAAGGTTCTTTGAAGCAGGTCGTTATGCAATGAAAATGGGAGTGAGTGAAGAACATATTGTTCAGATGAAACCTTCTTTGACTACAAGGTCATCCAAATCTGCAAACACAAAACCATAGAAAAAGTAAATGTAGCATGAGGGAAGTAAGAATTGAAAATTATCATTCTAATAGAAATATTTATACAGAACTAAAACAAACTGCTTTCAATAGAAAATATTGGCTTATGGTGTATCCTTGGCATTTCATTAATTTCTGGACTCTCTCTCTCTCTCTCTCGCCATTCTTTATCTGACTTGCCGTGATAGTACCTCAGTATCATCATCCCATAACCCATCTTGAGCTGGAGGAGAAGTGAATTTTCATCCCAACTGAAAAACCAATTCCCGTTACCATCTAGCACAAAACTTGTTAAACAATGCTTTGAAACACTATCCGCTTAACAAAGAAGTTGCAGTGACCAATCACCATTTATCATCTCATAAACGAGGTAACAAATTTTGCTTTAACCAATTGAAGTAAATCCAAAAAATAAAATAAAATGGCAGATTAAGAAAGAGATTGAGGTGACAAAAGACTATCTTTGAGCTCCGGGTCAGATAACACTAGTCCTAAATTTTGTGAATGAGGAATTACAAAGGATGAAATAGGAAGAGGTACAGGTGAATCTGTGATATATAATACCTTCTGGGACGTAACCGATTATATTTTACCGAATTGAATCGAACTGTTTTTATTTTTTTCCGAATCAGATTATGTTAAAAAAAAATTATATCTTTAAAGCTAGCACAAAAACCTCCTCTTGTAGTCCTAAAACAGAAAAAAATATTTATGCAGTTAATGCAGATAAATTATCTGCATTTACTTCCAAAACACGACGTAATTTTTAAATTGAAAGATTAGAAAATTATAATTATAAAGACTATAATAACCCTGAAATAAATTAAAATTACAAAAATACCATAATTTCTGTCTCAAAACGACGTCATATTGAGCTTAGTGCAGATAACTTATACTCTTCCTAAAATTCTCATATGAGTAAAACTAATATATTTTGATATGTAATTAGTGTCGCATTGTATCCGGATATTTAAAAGAATAAACGAATTGAGTGGCAACCTACATTTTTTTTTTCTTTTTTTTTGCAAAGGAGTGGCCACCCACTTTAGTTACATGAAGAGAAATTAAAAAAATAGTAATAATAATTGGTCTTTGAAAATTAAGATACGTGATTGGAGAATCATATAATACATATCGAGAATGCTAGAAACTTAATTACATCGTATGTGATACATTCATTTTAAAATAATTATCTTAAATTAATTGTGCAAATCATTAATAAATCCCAAAAATTTAAGTAAAATAAAATAAATAAAACTCATTAAAGATTACAGAATTAACGTTATATCAGCTAATTCTTTTGTTAATTTTTGATATTTTATTTTTTGAATTATCTAAATTAATTAAAAAACATACAATTGGTAATTAAAAGAAAAGATTTATATTCTCTGCGTGTCACAATTAAAATAATCCTAAACAAAAATTGCAGGTTAACAAATTGTCTCGACACAATTAACCTTTTTTATTGTTAAAAAATTATATCCAAACCAATTTGATCCCATTCAAGTACTCTCGAACTTGTATTGATGGCAACTCTCCCAACACACTATTTTCTTCAATCTCATAATTCAAACGTGAAATTGCACTTATTTGGTGTGCAACTACTTGCGCATATATCATGTGACAAGTTCTCAGGAATTGTGCACGTATACAATGCACAACTAGTTGTGCACAAAGTGAGTGCATAACTAATTGTATTTTGCCACGTGACATTTCTTGTGAAATTTGTTTACATCATGATTTACATCGTTATATGTAACATCACTATCTCCACTGTATTCACCTTTTTAACACCTATTGATTTTATTTTCACTTTCGAACATAATCCCAAAGCGACCTTCAAATTTTCTACATTATAATAGAGAATTGCATGAACTAACTCAAATTTGAACTTATTTTGATAAGAACATAAAAATAAGAACATAAAAATAAAGATCATTTCCTTTTAGATAATTGAAAGATAGGAAGAGGAAGAGAGAAATTTGATACATTATGTCCCATCTAGTAGAGAATCGCACAGACAGCTACAATGATGACAAAATTCAGTTAATTGCGTACTTACTTGGTGCATAATTGATATGATCCCCAATAGGAATGGAGGAATGGATCTACTAGGAATGGAATTCTAACCCCAAATTCATCCACCAACACGACCTGTTAAGAACAGAGCGTATCTCACGCTACAGACCTCGGATTTGGGTGATTCCAAAACGAGGTGAAAGATGGCTTCCTGAATCACGATTTTGGCACAAGAATCACCGGAAAAGGATAAGGAATTCGAGAGATATGAATCCAAGATAATATAGAACGAAATTGGAGTTTAAGGATTATAGGTAGGCGCCACAATTCGAAAGAATTGATAAGCCCAAGAACGCCACAAGGATTGATGCCCTTGATAAGTTCAGAGATTCTCAAAAGAACCCAAGAGAACTAGTCTCACCAAAATAGGTTAACTTGATATTCCAAATCTGTCTTCAAAAGCCATGGTGTTCCCTTATATAGTGGGCAACAACCATATTGAGTTTAACCTAAAAGTACTTACACATAAAAGAAGATAGACAACCCAATAATCCAGCCCAATAAGCCTTATTACAAAAAGTTTAACTAAATATAAGAAAATAAAAAATTAAGTGCAGAATTTGGGCCAAGTAAAATAAAGCCTTCATGCATATCCATTGAGGCTTATTCTTCAAGGTCTTCAATTTCAATTAAGTGTATCATTTTGGGCTCTTCTTCCTTTAGACTTGGGCTTGTCTCAAGTAAAGTGGTCACCAAGAGATTTAGAGCCTCTTTAGCCTTTTTAGCTTTTGCTCTTGTCATTGGGCCTCCAAGACCTTGTATGTCCTCCAAGTTTATTGTCTTGGTCATGCCACCTCCTATGTCCTCATCATTCCCTCCTTCTTTAGAAGAATTTGTCCTCAAATTGTAATCCTCGTCTCCTGCATCAAAAAGGGACAAATCAGCCACATTAAAAGTAGCACTTACACCATACTCACCAGGAAGGTCTATTTTGTAGGCATTATCATTAATTTTGGACAGCACTTGGAAAGGGCAATCTCCTCTTGGTTGAAGCTTAGATTTCCTTTGGGAAGGGAACCTCTCTTTTCGCAAATGAACCCAAACCCAATCACCTGGTTCAAAAAGTACCTTCTTCCTTCCTTTATTTGCCTGCTTAGCATAGCTCTCCACCTTTTTCTCAATGTTTGCTTTTACCCTTTCATGTAGTTTTCGCACATATTCAGCCTTACTCTTACCATCTTTATGTTGAAAAATAGAGTTGTTAGGCAAAGGTAGCAAATCAAGAGGAGTGAGAGGGTTAAAGCCATAAACAATTTCAAAAGGAGAATAATGAGTAGCACTATGAACTGCCCGGTTATATGCAAACTCAACGTGGGGCAAACATTGTTCCCATGACTTGATGTTCTTTTTAACTACAGCCCTCAAAAGAGAAGAAAGAGTTCTATTCACTACCTCAGTTTGACCATCAGTTTGTGGATGACAAGTAGTAGAAAAGAGAAGTTTAGTCCCCAACTTACTCCATAATGTCCTCCAAAAATGGCTTAAGAATTTAGTATCACGATCAGAGACAATGCTTCTTGGAAGTCCATGGAGTCTTACCACTTCCTTGAAGAACAAATCAGCAATATGGATTGCATCATCAACTTTTTTGCACGGAATAAAATGTGCCATCTTAGAAAACCTGTCCACCACAACAAAAATAGAATCTTTACCATTTTTAGACCGAGGTAGTCCTAACACAAAATCCATAGAAATATCAATCCAAGGGCAATCTGGAATAGGTAAAGGAGTATACAACCCATGAGGCAATAATTTAGACTTAGATTGCTTACATACAATGCATCTTTCACACAATTTATGTACATCACGCTTCATGTGTGGCCAATAAAAATGTTCATGCAGCATGTCTAGAGTCTTTTGGATTCCAAAATGTCCCATTTCCCCCCGCATGTGCCTCTTTCACAAGTAATTCCCTAATAGAACCTTTAGGAACACACAATCTCTTTTCTTTAAATAAGTAATCATTATGCCTAAAGAATCCATTTTGAGCAGCATCCACACAAGTTTCATAGATTTGTGCAAAGTCTGGATCATGCTCATACAATGCCTTAATATGATCAAAACCAATAAACTTAGTTTCAAGAGTAGAGAACAAAGCATACCTTCTTGAAAGTGCATCTGCAACTACATTAGACTTACCTTTCTTGTGCTTGATCACATAGGGAAACTGCTCCAAGAACTCTACCCATTTGGCATGCCTTTTGTTAAGCTTGCCTTGTCCTTTTAAGTACTTTAAGGACTCATGGTCACTGTTGATGACAAACTCTTTGGGCAAGAGATAGTGTTGCCATGTTTGCAAAGCCCTTACCAATGCATACAATTCCTTATCATATGTGGAATAATTAAGAGTAGCCCCATTCAGTTTTTCACTAAAATAGGCAATGGGATGCCCCTCTTGCATCAAAACAGCCCCTATCCCCACATTAGATGCATCACATTCAATCTCAAAAGATTTAGAAAAATTAGGCAATACAAGAATAGGTGCATGAGTTAATTTATCTTTGAGGGCAGCAAAGGCTTTCTCTTGTTTTTCACCCCATTTAAAACCAACATGCCTTTTAATCACTTCATTCAATGGTGCAGCTATGGTACTGAAATCTTTAACAAATCTCCTATAGAAACTAGCTAAGCCATGAAAGCTTCTCACCTCACTTACATTCTTAGGAGTTGGCCACTCTTGAATAGATTTCACCTTCTCTTGATCAACTTGCACTCCTTGTGAGCTAACAACAAAACCAAGAAAAACAACATGGTCTATACAAAACACACATTTTTCCATGTTAGCATACAATTTCTCATGCCTTAGTGTTTCCACAACATACCTCAAGTGCACAAGATGATCATCATAGGATTTGCTATAAATCAGAATATCATCAAAATAAACCACAACAAACTTTCCTAGAAACTCCCTTAACACATGATTCATTAGTCTCATGAAAGTACTAGGAGCATTGGTTAAACCAAAGGGCATAACCAACCATTCATACAGCCCATATTTAGTTTTAAAAGCTGTTTTCCATTCATCCCCTTCTCTAATCCTAATTTGATGGTATCCA